GTCCCGGTGATCCACTATAACACTTCCAGGTCGTACGGGAATATTTACGCAGGATCGGTAATTTGACCATGCTTGAATTTATGTCTTATGTTTTCTTGATACAACTTCATGTAGATCTACTAATTAATTTTCGTACTTGTACATGTATATCTGGTTTCAAGTTCACAGAGTACAATTATAAATAGATCTACATTTATTAAACAAATGAACATGTATTATTCTCCGCGAATCACGGCAAATGTTCACGGCAAAATCGCCGCGAGTTGAATTCGCGGCGATTGTCTCAAGTTGCCGCGAATTCGCTCGCGTTATAAAGCATGAGAGTTCGCCGCGAATACGCGAATTGTGCGGGTTTCGCGTGTCCAGTACTGTATTTTTGTCCATGCCATTTCTCATAAATTATAAAAGCTATGGACTTGAAACTTCATAGGATGATAGATCTTATTGATTAGAAGTGCAGCACAGAAACTGCGTCTCTGCACTTCTTCTTTTTATGAGTTTTTTTGCCCTTTGTTAATTTTCATATTTCATTTTTGTCCTAGTCATTTTTCTTAACAAGGCAACACATCCGACTCGCGGAGTTCTAGTTGCATCAGATATATAGCTTTAAACACTTTAACTTAAATTAACCGTGGCGGTTCGTTTTTGTCTTACTCCAAGGAATGTGTATGTCAATGATTATTCTTAATAATTGAGCCGTGTCACGACAAAACCAACATAATGGGTTTGCGACCAGCATGGATCCAGACCAGCCTGCGCGTCCGTGCAGTCTGATCAGGATCCATGCTGTTGGCTATCAGTTTCTCTACTTGTTATATAGTTTGTAAGCGAACAGCATGGATCCTGATCAGACTGCGCGGACGCAAACCCATTATGTTGGTTTTGTCGTGACATGGCTCATTATCTAAACAGACGGTAGCTCTTAGATGTACATCAAGTACAACACCGATAAAATATACAATATTCAAAACAATACAACACTTGCAATATCCATATATATTTATAACATATAAATCATCACGTTTACCTCCTTAACATTTCCCTCCAAGTGTAACCTTTGTAGGATTTAGCTAGACAATGCCATTCCTGAAATATATAATATGTAATTCTTGTTATCGATGATTTTTACCAACATAGGAGATGTTTTGTTTGTTTATTTGTTTGTTTGTTTGTTTAATCGGGTTTTACGTCACACCGACACACTATAGGTCATATGGTGACGACAATATGCGATTATCTAAGAAGTAAGCAAAAAGTTCGGCCGTGGAAAGCAATGCAGGAGCATTAACAAAAATGCAGTCGTGTAATAAATGTAATGACTGATCCTTCTAAGGCTGCTTCATGTTCTATATACAATAACCGCTTACTTTCATCATATATTGGTTACATATATTTTTTATCCTTTTTTTTGACAACTGTTTATGCTGATGCGGTGGAAATATTGCATATGTACATGTATATACATTTGAAGATCATGTATGTGGTAATAAAGGTTGTTACCACACTTTAGTGAAATTTTATATTTGTATATAATTATGCTTATAAAACAATTTTCAAACATCGAAGAAAATAAATGTAAAATATGTACTGCAAATATTTGTCCACATTATATGAAATCATTAAAATATTTGCTTTCATTTCTTATTGAAAAAATGACTTAGACTTTATAGAAAATAAATTTCTAATTACCTCCCCTTCTTAACATTAAAATGTAAATTCGGTAATATCTTTACCAATAATGTTTTTTTTTTGGAACTTAAAATTTTGATAAATCTTCATTTGAGCAAATGTAGAAGTTTTATATATATAATACACGTGAAAAATGCATGTTCGTGAACTGTAAAATTAGCGCCAAGAAGTATAGTATTCCAAAAAGATATAAAGAAGTATGGATTACTACGCATGAATTACAGAGGTGACTCGATGTTACTATAAACAGTAGCCTAATTAATTTGGCGTGAACGGTTTGACCCATTTTACAGATTTTTTTTCTTACTGTCAAACCGTTACGCCTAATTTTAACTGTCATTTTTACGCACGGAAAATCTACCGGCAACACTATCGATAGTTTGGACTGATTTTTACTGCTTAAACCTGAAAGTAACTTCAATGTCCTCTAAAAATCAATAGAATATAAATTTTAGTACTAACTTTTCCTAGAAAAACTATTAGATTGTACCTGTCTTAACGCATACATGCGATTTATTTCAAATTTGTACTGTATACACTATCTCCGGCGGACATGTTATGACGTCATCGTAAAAAATCGATTCCGTGAAAGCTGGTAGTAGCAACCAGTGTGTCTAGCAGGTAAGTGTGGGTTACGCATGAAGATTAAACTTAAAAAAAAAAATACCGGGGAAATAAATCTATTCATTATTTTAAATAAATTTGTGCATTATTAAATACTTTTGAAAAGTATCAATGTGTTAAACTTAAAATACAATGGTAGCAAATACTAAGGCTCCGTACAAGTACTGTTGTTTAATATTTTTTTAAATGTTTTAATACATGTACTCAACATTTATCAATAGATGGTTTGCCTTCTTGTTTACTGCTAATGACTGCCGATAAAATACTAACTTCATTTATACATGCATATTTAAATGACAATTAAGAATGTAAAAGAAATAAAGGAATTCTTTTTCACCTATTGCTGATATATATTATAATACCATATTAAACCTACTGATAAAGTTAAATGTCTTCTTGACATACTTTATTAATTTACTAAAAAAGGAACTTTATTGTGATCCAGCCATATGCTGTGTAACTATAAGAGAAGGGTCACATATTTTAATTGAAATAAATTTTAAGTAGAGGATATTAAAAAAAAGTCATTGAGAAGATAAGAATTTTCAAATGAACAGATTAAGAGACTTATACATGTATAAGGTGTATGTCTTGTTGTTTCATACTGTTTTGGTGACACTTTTTTTTGTGTCCCTTGTTGTTTTCTCGTCTATGGTAAGTATCTTCCCTTTGCCCCTAGTTTTATTTCTTATTCCGCCCCCTCCCCCTTCCCCGAATTTCCTATCCCCTACCACTGTGCCAGTTTACTTAATGGTCCTATTAATCATTCATTTATTTATTTTCTTTGATTTTGATTTCCTTGTATGTTACCATTATTTCTTTATATTTATCATTTTCTTTCATTTTAGTGATAAGCCAGACCGTGCTCTCTCTTGCGCCGTCCTGTTTTTGTTTAGGATCCTCCTGGGTTCCTTGCAAATGGTTCTTGTTCCTGGGTCGTGCGGGGGTTGCGTTCATTGAACGCGGCCTTTCCTCGTTCATCTTGTTTATCATATTTTATACTTGTATACCGAACCGAACCATAACAAACAGATAATGATTATCAATACAAGGTTCGACAAGCAAGCAAAGAAATGTAAAGAAAACAGGAAAACTTATCCACATATCCGCCCTCCAAAAAAAACGCCTGAAACTGCAAAAACCGAAACATAAATACACATGGGTGCCAAAGACAGCTCTGGTAGGTACATGTGCTCCCTTGCGCCGGTTTCAACAGAATTCATCACTTATTCATAATAATGTAGAAATTTTAATCAACACCCACAGATGTGTACAAAATATGGCGGTAATCATGGAACTTTTCAATGCAACACATTCGAGGTGCCGTTCAATGAAAAGCGGGAACTAGATAACATGGAATTTTAAATGATATAGGTTTTGGTGTCATTTTGCGACAGACGTTCTAACAGACGACTACAGTAATCTAATCAGACTATTTCTCCATCTGTCTTACATTGTTATGCTACTCTACGTCTTAAATAAGCGTCACTAAATTTCCGCTTGCTGCGTTTTTATCATACACCCCCGTCATATCTGTTCGACAATTGCATTTTACTGAGGACTGTCTGAAATTCCATTTTATAGTTTGAAATTTTAAGATTTTTTTCTCAGAATTTAAAGTTATTTTTGGTTGTTTTGAACTTCTTCCCCTACACAACTGTCCTCAATTTTTTTAAAGATAATAAACTAGAAATTGATAGGGAGTTTAAAATATATTGAAATTCTTCTTTGCTTCATCATGTATAGTATACTTATAATTCATTAAGATGTACCTACAATTACATTGTATTTTCATGTGCGAAATCATGGCAGGGGTTATAAAATAAAAAGGCAGTTCAGAAATTTCACCTAATGATCACAGATGTTAAAAAATCCGACATTACAATTTCTAATTTGACAATTTAAATGGACTTTTAAAATGCAGTATGATCTGACGTCGGACATCTAAGTAAGGTTATCAGAATATCCTTTTCACATTTTATTTTTAATGCTGAAATATTCTTGTGTGAAAAAAAAAAGTTATTCCTGCATAATTCATAATAAATAACTTAAACAAATTATATTATAAAGCTTGACAAATACAATCGATTGCCGCCGATACCTGTGTTACACCATGGAAATTTTACAATTTTACCCTGTTTTACCCTGTCACCGCTTGCGTCATTTTCCAATATGGCCGCTTACAATAATTTTCAACGATTTAAAAAGTTAAAGTGGAATATTTAGACTTGTGTTCGACTTGAAAGTATGATAACTTGGAACCTTGCATAAAAAACGATTCTCTTTCATGTAATGTAGACCGTTTCTTTGAAACTTTTTTAGTTTTCGCTCCCAACAACTTCTAATTGGGAAGCGTCCGTGCATAAAAATGCAGTTCGTGGTTGGACTTGGAAAAAGACAGCGCCCGTCCAAAATTATCTCGGTGTCTCTTTGACAAGTCTAATTAGTTGGACTATATAAACAGGTGATGAGTCATGCATACATGTACTTATTGTGACATGACAAAATGATAGTAATTTTTATGGTTTAGATCATTATACAGATTACAAGTATACAGGACACTATAAGTAATGCCCGGGGCCGTCGATGATATCTCACCCGTGTATATTGTAGTCCTCCCTGCCCCTGGCCATAATATCCTCTATACCTGACTACCATTATAATGTCCTGTTTTCAAATAAAATCTACATCTGTGTTTACAGATCACAAGGCCTGGAATTGTTCAGGTGTTGAACAGACGTCTGAAAAAATTTCAGGGCCTCGTAAATGTGATAAGAACTAAAAGCCGAAATGAAACAAGTTTTATAAATAACTTTCAAATTGCGTGCAATAATAGTCAGTTTTAGAGACGAAATGCTTGGAATATTCATGTATATTTGATAACATATATTTTAGTGTGCTTTTTTTTAAGTTTTAAAGATGAGAATAACTGAATTGTTCCTTTTACAAATACCTATATTGATTGTGATGTGTAGTACATTCAGGAATGATGGGGATGATCATATAGGTAAGATGATGTAATGAATATTTTATTTATTCATGTAAAGTTTCATTTTTTCATGTAAACCAAATTGATTCGTTATGAATTTACTCAGTTCAATTATATATTTTACTCGGTATTAACATGAACAACATATAGCACAAACCCCGTAATATACATGTATATGTTAAAATAATTATTTGTATCATAGTTTGGAAACATTGTCTGAGTTAAAGTGCACAGAGCGTTAACTAGGGTGCACAATGCGTTAACTAGAGTGCACAGTGCGTTAACTAGAGTGCTCAGTGCGTTAACTAGAGTGCTCAGTGCGTTAACTAGAGTGCTCAGTGCGTTAACTTGAGTGCACAGTGTGTTAACTAGAGTGCACAGTGCGTTAACTAGAGTGCACAGTGCGTTAACTAGAGTGCACAGTGCGTTAACCAGATTGCACAGTGCGTTAACTAGAGTGCACAGTGCGTTAACTAGAGTGCAAGAATCATAACTTATTTACCACGCTGTCTGGCGGGGATAAAAATAGAGCATGATTTTCTGGAAAAGGAAAGAAATGAGCCGCGTCATGACATAGCCAACATAGTGTGTTTGCGACCAGCATGGATCAAGACCAGCCTGCGCATCCGCGCAGTCTGATCAGGATCCATGCTGTTCGCTTACATACCCTATAACAAGTAAAGAAACTGACAGCGAACAGCATGGATCCTGATCAGACTGCGTGGATGTGCAGGCTGGTCTGGATCCATGCTGGTCGCAAACACACTTTGTTGGTTTTGTCATGACACGGCTCAAATATAATCAGATGCTATTACATTGGTTTATTATTATAGGGTTTCATATTGTGACAACACGGAAAGTGTTTTGATTCAAACGAGAGATAAAATATCAAAACACTTGGAAATCTGTATCATACTCAAAGGCTACGCTCCCACGTACAAATCAGATAAACTCTTTCTATTACTTATTTCCACAATTAAGTGATATACATTGTTATAATACACGATGTACGTTATACAATGAAAATATAACAATCTGATTAAAATCAGCTCCTAATAACGGTTAAATAACAAATAAATATGTATACAAACTTGCCTAAATAAGAAACATAAATCAATCTTACATTTGCAACATGGGTGATGATATTATGCATTATCACATTGGATAAGTGTAAGTTAAAATGCGAGAATCAAATAGATCATGGCTATAAAGTGACAATAGCTTAAACATAGACATCAGAAGTATTATTCAGATACTATATATAGACCATAATAAAGTATATGTCGAACAGACATACACTGTTTTGAGTATCTTGTATATAAGCATTTTGCGTCATACAATTTTTATCTGATGTTATATTCAAGATGATGGCATAGTTATCCCTGATATCAGTTTTGGTATTCCCTAAAACAAATGACATTTTGCACGTACATGTATATGTAACTTAGTACTGCTAAAACAGAAAAAGCAAAAAAAATCATTTTTTCTTTACGAGATAAAAAATTTTTGTGCTTCGCTCATTTTTTACATGCAATAGTAAACGTATGCGATTGCTACTCTTAAAAGAATGATTATGAACATTTCCTTTTTTGTAATGATAACAGACGTCTGCCTATATGTTTTTGAAACTTGGTTTCACTAAATTATATCTCAGAAACAACTTCTTTGTCAATTAGCACAAAGTTTTCTACAATACTTTACGAAAAAAGTCCATTATATTACAATAAAAAATATTTACAACACTTTTTATGTTTTCTTCTTAAATATGTTCATCCAAACTTAAATGAGGTTTAATAACAATCAACTTAAGTATCATTACAATTATTGTTTTCCTGTATATTATTTATATAATTGATTTCTTTATATTGATTGCTCTGAAATGTACATGTTACTTGATGTTTTTTTGTATATGATGATGTACTATGTAGTCAATGTACAGATAAAAAAATATAAATTATGTTCTGTTCTGTTCATGTTTTCACAGGCACTTGGTGTGTGGAGCTCCAAACACCTAAAAAATCAAAATAAAAAGTATATATTTGTCAATCCCAGCGCATATCCTTATCACATTTATTAATAAAATTTAATATACTCTGTTTGAAAAAAAAATCAATTTCAACATCTATAATTATTATAGTACATGTATCTATATTATTACATTTGCTTATCCCTAACTGGGGGGGGCCGTGGGCCCAGTTAATCGTTATTCAAACCACTTCCCCTCACCGCTTGGTTCAATCCCCCCAGGGACTTTTGGGTTTTTGCATGTGGGGAAACTATCCCGCTAGCTTTACGGAACGTCGGGCTTCCGAACCCTTCTACCTAAAAAATGCACGGAAGGGAACCTGAGGGGCTTCCCCCCCAGTAAAGCGGAACGTCCGATATACCAAAAATATTCAAAGTGACAAAAACCCCAAACAAACAAAAAAAACAAAATTATCCATAACTTTTAAACTTTGTAGCAGTTGTAAGCTTTTTAAATATTTAACATTTCCAAAGAAGACCATTTATGTTTTCATTAAAAACCGAAATCTTTTTTTTATTACAATATTTAAAAAAATTATACATAATACAAGAGATATTTTTGACAAAATTTTCCGTCAATATCGTATGTAATAGAATAACAACATACACATACACACAAAACAAAGTGTAAAAAAAAATTTTTAAAAATCAGATTTGGGATTTTCTTAAAAAGTATTTTTTTAAAATATGACCCGTATGACAAAAAAACATAGTCCCTTTTCGACCGCATGGATCCGACCAGCCGGCATCGCGCAGTCTGATCAGGATCCATGCTGTTCGTTTACCAACACTCTATTACAAGTAGAGAAACTGATAGCGAACAGCATGGATTCTGATCATGGATCCTGGTCTGGATCCATGCTGGTCGCAAAGCATTATGTTGGTTTGTCATGACACGGCTCATATTTTACTTTTATCTTCTTGTGTTTATAGTACTGATTACATTAGTTAAAATTCTGTTTTATATGTCAAATCATTTGACCAATTATTACTTCATAAGTTTATAAAATACTAAATCATACAATGGTTATTATAACATTTATATAAAAAGAATTCTTCTTGAGATATTTTATAAACCGAAAATAAGGATGCTCTAGTTTACGTATATTTCTATGAATTCCGCATTCTTGAAAAATATATATAATTTTTCTCCCAAAAAAAACATTTACTGCCATACAATCGATAAAAAGATGTTGATAATCTTCTATTTTATTACATTTATTACAGAGTGGAGATGATACCATTTTCCATTTATAAAATCCGAAATCTATTTATGTCGTCATCATCATTATCCATTCTGATATAATATTCTTAGTTAGTTTACATTTATGAGTGTGTTATTATATACAGAAAATATTTAAAACGGCTCTGATTATTGTCTTGCATTTTTGAAACAGAAGTTTATTTACCACATACCATGTAATGAATATAAATGAGCCACGTCACGACAAAACCAACATAATGGGTTTTCGACCAGCATGGTTCCAGACCAGCCTGCGCATCCGCGCAGTCTGATCAGGATCCATACTTCTCTACTTGTAATAGAGTTGTTTAGCGAACAGGATGGATCCTGATCAGACTCCGCGAATGCGCAGGCTGGTCTGGATCCATGCTGGTCGCAAACCCATTATGTTGGTTTTGTCGTGACGCGGCTCAAATCATGTTGTTGTTTATTTTATAGATATTTCTCTTTTTTGATATTACACCCTTAAAGTTTGTGTATTGGCTGAATTTAAAAGAAAGATGTTCGACAAAACAACAGTGAAAATACGGAAAATATATTTCACTGCAGTGAAAAACAAATTTTGCAGTGAAAATATAGAAGTATAAAATAAATAGAAGTATCCTCACTGTGTCTATTTCTCTACGTTACAAATTTAAACATACATGAACGTGACTGTTGCTTACGAACATCAGCTAACCTGAATTATTTTATTATTTTTTTCATATCAATTCAAATAGTTTTATCTGTCGGTCAAGAGACATATTACACTTATAATTTTTCTCTCATGGACATACTAAATAAAATTAAGTTTGGAATTTTTTACTTTACTTGCTCTGTAGGAGCTTCACTTTGAAGAATGTAATTTTTATTTCTTTCTTTCTTTTTTTGTTTACAGAATACGTGCACGTGTATAAGATATCCGGTGAGATGAGGAACAAGCGTTCAGCAGAAGTTGTTTTTCCTCGAACGCTCGTTTTTCAGTTTGAAATGGAGGCTGGGAAAATTGAACTTAATCTTAAACAGAGTGTTCATCCTCAAAAAGTTACTTCCGTGTATACAATTGAAAAAGAAAGTGTTATCAAACATAAAAACATATCAAAGGTATGTATATTGTGTGAGTCATGATGTAGTTATATGTACGTTATGAGGGAAGACTTGATTTTAGTATTAATTAAATACCTTATTGCTGTCATAAAACAAACTTATACCCGAAATATAAACTAATTACTGACTGACTTTGAAAGAACATTTTTATCCATATTTATCTAGCGAGATTACGAGAGCTTACTGGTTCTACTATGGGACTCGCTTTTGCTAGAAATAATGCATTTCACACCCTAAAAAGAACGTCCATGTTTTCATCTCGTAAAAATTCAATTCCTCAATTTCTATTTATCACAATATCACATACATGTATTTGCTAATACAGCTCGTTATGAATTTTGGTGACTATGTATTTTTTCGGTGTCTATTTACTTCGATTTTTTCGGAGAAAAAAAGAGGTATCGTTACGGTCATCAATGGATTATTTTCATACTTGGATAAAATAACCTTTTGGACAAGACCTTTTAAAAAGTTGAGCTGCCTTGACCTTTAAATGACCTTGACCGTCAATGTCAAATGATTGAATTTTGTTTGTATTTCTTTCTCTATATGTATGGAAATGATTCATACTTTGACAAAACTAGACAGACCTCCTATTATAAACCTATTTTGTTCCTCTATTAATTTTCTTTTTGTTTAAACCGTTTATTTGTTTGCCTATAGAAAAAGTAAAAAAAAAGTCAAGCGTTGCCCGCCTGGTGATGGTTCTTGTTGAAATTACGGGTGAATTTCAATGTTGATGTGCTTATTTTACATTATAACTGGATTTCAATGTTTCAGTGTTTATTTTACATTGCAGGTGAATATCGGTGTAAATGCGCTTCTTTTACACTTTTCTTATTTTTCATTCCACGTAAACATGTCGTTGTTTAATTATGTGCTTATTTTTCATAAAGATGAGTTTTTGTGATAATCTGATTATTTGATATTACAGGTGAATTTTGGTGTTTATCAGGATGAGACCCTAGGAGCTTCTGTGATCATCAAATGTCCTTATTCAAGTTCAGATCATGTCGATATAGTAAGAAAAGATATTTACATAATATAGATTCTACTAGGCCACTTGTCTAACGTACCCATTAGTCACGGCTTTTCATGCGTATAAAACAAAAAATACTTTTTTATAATTTTTTATGTATAGTATTTTTTCACACGTTATTTATACTGTTGTTTAAAGCGGCGAAAATTTTGGCGAAGTGATCAGTAACAAATTGTGCTACTTCGCAACCAACCAAACACACTTTAAAGCTAGCTGCCTCCAGATGTTAAAAAAAAAATCAAGTGAACGAAAAATCCTGGTCTAGTTAGCTATAATGTACTGACAGTTTTATCAAAAGTCACATTAAACAAATAAAAACACAATTCTGTCTAACTTTCAATTTGTAATTGTAATTTGTAATTGTAATTTGTAATTGTAATTTGTAATTGTAATTTGTAATTGTAATTTGTAATTGTAATTTGTAATTGAAGCACTTGGTAACCGATAGTACAACAAGGCATCATATCTTATATCATACAATAATATTTATCTACTACTTTAAAGAAAACATTTTGACGCCATTTTACAAATTCACAAATGCATATCTGTTCACACTCTACCTATGAATTAAACATATTTCATTCATTATTATTTACTTTCTATTTTTGAAAAATAAAAATATAACGATGCAAACCGGACGGTTACCGAAAGCTGAACCGAAATGTTGCACGAAAATATCATGCACTCATGTCACGCTTTACTAAATATCCTGACGGTGACTACGTTACGTTAAGAGAAACTTATTTCCTTCTAGATGAAAGAATTTATATAGCACGGTAATCAATATAAATAGGAGAAATAATTTATTAATTATTAAAAGTGCATCCTTTGACAACTGTGCCAGGGGGATTATTTCATCACGAGTTTTGTATTTTTTTAGCATCTCGAGGTCTCGGGCATGGAATAAAGAGATCTGTTCATTACGATCTAACTAGCAAGAATAGTGTATTTTTCATCTTATTTGTTCCAGTTTGGCTCTTTTGTTCATGACAATCAGCATTATCAGATTGAGCCTGTAAGGTCAATGTACCGTAAACGTCGTGTCGACGAAGGAAGTGCCTCACAAGAATTGCATTTTGGGATAGCCGGCAATCGATCAGACGACAAACTAATCCCTATGGAGTTCAGGGACGAATTACTTCCGCACGTAAGTTTACTATAATTGAATTATTATATAATAAATAATAATAATAATAATAATAATAATTATAATTAATAATTAATAATAATAATATAATAATTAATAATAATAAATATATAATAAAGCCAACGTTTCATCTGCATGTGAACATTTCTCTCATGCGTCTAGGGTCTCTATCTTTGAACCTAGTCAAGAAAAGGCCGAGGCTATTTCAACTCGCTTTTTTCTGGTCAGAAGTTAGCAAATACGGGATCCAACGGGCGCACACTTACTTTAACTTTAATTATTTTTTCAAGATGGGAAACGCATATGACGCACTAAGGCCAAAAATGTCTTTTATCTCCTCAACGATATATCTTGCACCTTCATCAACTATGGTTTTGACAAAGCTGCTCTTTTTGCTCCTATGCAACTGAGCTATATACAAAACCACGTGTATTTAAATGACTTGCTAAAGTTTTATTGCACGTGCAAATTGTGTGAAAATAGACTTTTGTGCTCCTATTATATTATGCATGATTATTGTTACCCGTAATAATGAAACACAATGTTATATTTTATATTTATTATATTTTGTTTTTAAAGTCAGTTAAAATATGATAAAATCCCAAGAAATCCCCAAAACACCAAAATTTAATACAGAAGTTTAATCAAAGTTCCCATCTATTGTTTGTTTCAAATACTTGCAAATGAAAGAGGTATACACGTTCTTATTGAGGCATGGTAAGGTATTAAACAATCTTGATTGTACTTCATAAATGTAAAAGATGTTGGAGTTTTAAGATTATTTTAAAAGAATATTCACAACAATTTCCCCTATTTTTTTTAAAATTTATATTCACCGTTACTTTTATTAGAATTTTTTCACTTCAAAAAATTTTATGATATTATGTAGTCCAACTGTTTTTTAAAATTTAGTCCTTTCCATTTTTTTAGTTTATATGTCACCGTTCCTTTTATTTGATATTATTTACCGTAAATTTTATTAGATATTAATTTTCACCGTCCCCTTTTATTGATATTATATGTCACCTCCACTTTTTATTAATATTTATGTCCCCTCCCCCTTTTTTATTTGATATTAATGTCACCGTCCCCCTTTTTTATTAATATATATTCACCGTCCCCCTTTTTTAGATATTATATGTCACCCCTTACTTTTATTAGATATTAATTTTACCGTTCCTTTTATTAATTATTTTATGTACCGTCACTTTTATTAGATATATATGGCCCCTCCACTGTTTTTATTAGATATTTTATGTCCCCCTTCCTTTTATAAAATATTTATTGTTACTCCCCTGTTTTATTAGAATTATATGTCACCGTCCCCCGTTTTTTTAGAAAATTATGTCACCGTCACTTTTTAAATATTATATTACCTCCACTGTTGTTTTGTATTTTTGTACGTTCATTTTTATTAATTTAGTCACCCCTCCCCTTTTATTTGTATAATATTTACCTCCAGTTTTTTAGATATTTTTGTCACCGTCCACTTTTATTTAAAATTATATGTACCGTTCCTTTTATTAGATATTAATGTCAACCCGCACGGGTTTTTAGATATTTTTAAAGTACCGTTACTGTTGTATTAGATATTATATGTCACCCTCCACTGTTGTATTAAATATTATATGCCCCGTATGTTGTATTAGATATTTTTAAAAGTCACCCTTCATGTTTTTATAAAATTTATATGTACCCTCCCCTGTTGTATTTGATATTATATGTACCGTCACTGTTGTATTTGATATTATATTCACCCCACTGTTGTTTAGTATTTATATGTCACCCCCACTGTTGTATTAAAATATTATATTCACGTCCCCTGTTGTAATAGATATTAAGTCACCCCTTCCCCTTTGTATTAGATTTATATGTCACCTTCCCCTGTTGTATTAATATTATATGTCACTCACTGTTTATTTTGATTTATATATGTCCCGTTCCCTGTTGTATAAGATATTATATGTAGTCCACTTTGTAATAGAATTATATGTACCCCTCCCCTGTTTTATTAATATTAATTACCGTCCCTTTTTGTATTTGATATTTTATGTACCTTCCCTGTTGTATTAGAATTATATGTACCTCCCTGTTTTATTAGATATTATTGTCACCGTTACTGTTGTATTAGATATTTATGTAAAAACCCCCTTTTTTATTAGTATTATATGTCAAAACCCTTCACTTTTATTAATATTATATTCACCGTATGTGTATTGATTAATTCCCGTCACGGGTTTTATTGATATTATATGTCACCTATTTTTTATTAGATATTATATGTACCCCACTTTGTTTTAGATATTATTGCCCCCCTCCCCTTTTTATTGATATTATATGTCACCGTCACTTTGTATAGATATATTGTACCGTCAGGTTGTATTAGATATAATGTACCTACTGTTGTATTAAAAGTATTGTACCGTCACGTTGTAAAATTTGATTTATATGTAGTCCCCTTTGTATTAATATTTTTGTACCTTCCATGTTTTTTTAGATATTTTTTTACGTCCCCTGTTGTTTAGATATTATTGTCCGACTGTTGTATTAGATATTTTATGTAACTCCCCCCTTTTTTTTAGTATTTTTTGTACCCTTTTACTGTTGTTTCATTTTATTCACCCTCCACTTTTATTTGATATATATGTCACCTCACGGTTGTATTAGTATTTTATTCACCCTCATTTTTTAAATTTGATATTAATTCACCCCTCACTGTTGTAAATTTGATATTTTATGACGCACTTTTTGTATTAGATATTTTAAAATTTCCCCCCACTGTTGTATTGATAGTATTGTCACGTACTGTTGTATTAGATAGTATAGTCACGTTACTTTGTATTTTAGATATTATGTCGACGTTCACTGTTTGTACTTAACGATATTATATGTCACCATCCCTGTTGTGATTAGACTACGTAATGTCACCGTCCATGTTGTATTTGATAGTATATGTCACCGTTCACGGTTTTATATTGTACCGTCCCTTTTTTATTAGATATTAATGTCACCGTTCACTGGTTGTATTAGATATTATATGTTCACGCCCACGTTGTATTAAATAGTATATGTCACCCGTCCACTGTTGTAAGAGATTATATGTCACGCGTCCACTGTTGTATTAGATAGTTATGTCCGTCACGTTTTATTTACATATTATATGTCACGTCACTGTGTTATAGATAGTATATGTACACCGTCCACTGTGTTATTTAGATATTATATGTCACCTGTTCACTGTTGTATTAGATATTATAGCAACGTTCACTGTTAGTATTAGATATTATATTGTCACTGCCACTGTTATATTTAGATAGTATAATGTCACCGGTTCAGTGATGTAATTAGATATTATATGTCACCGTCCACTGTTGTATTAGATATTATATGTCACCGTTCACTGTTGTATTAGATATTATATGTCACCGTTCACTGTTGTATTAGATATTATATGTCACCGTCCACTGTTGTATTAGATATTATATGTCACCGTCCACTGTTGTATTAGATATTATATGTCACCGTCCACTGTTGTATTAGATATTATATGTCACCGTTCACTGTTGTATTAGATATTATATGTCACCGTCCAGAAACGACAAGAGAGCTAGTGAACTTCTTTAATATCTGAAACATGCTGAATGAATGACAAAACAATTATTACCTTGACAAAATGTCTGAATATAAATCATCTCTTTTTGCCAATTTTTCCAAAGTCTTAATTTTTATAACTCTTTGACCAAAACCATGATGCTCTTTTCAGATGTTAAAACCTCAGGACCGCATATTTGGGACAACCACCGAGAAGTTCGAGAGTGACGTGTTACTACCTAGTAAGTAGACTAATTACTTTAAGTAAATATCATTGTGAAAGGAAGAGAGCAATGAGATACTTTTTTAACATAACCAGATAAAACCTTGTTTCTGTTTTATAAAATAGGCCTTCAAGCATGAGGGCTTTCTAAGAAGTTAAGTAATCACCATAATTATCTTTTACCAATACAGTTTAATGTCCCCCGCCTTTTTGAAGAAAAAAGGGGGATATAAAAAAGGGCCCCCGCCGTTGTCCGCCCGTCCTCGCCGCCGCCTGTCCGTCCGTCACCCTTTCGTGTCCGGCCATAATTTTGCATTTATGAAAGGAAATTTGAAAAAATTTGGCAAAAATTTTTATTATAATAAGACGATGTGTCATGTGCAACAATCAGACCCCTACCTCCAGGGCAAGGTCACACTTGCTCATTAAAGGGAATTGCCTTTTTGGGGGTTATTGGCCCGGTCCAAAACTTTTTTATCTAAAGGGATTTTGTAAATACTTCCCATAATTTTTCCAATAATCAGACGATATGCATCCCCTAAAACCATCACCTCCCTTTCAAGAAAGGTCACATTTTGGGGTCAAATTTTAACAATAGTTTTTTAAGGGTATATTCTTTCCCGGGTCTAATTTTTTATCACGAAGGGTTTTTGTAAATACTTCCCAATAATGTCACAATAATCAGACAATTGTTCGCGGAAAAAAACCGTCCCCTACCTTCAAGGTCAAGGTACATTTTGAGGCAAATTTTAACATAGCTGTTACAGGTATATTCGTGTCGGTCCATAATTTTCTTATCATAAAGGGTTTTTGTAAATACTTCCATAATTTTTCATAAAAACAACATTTCAGCGAAAAAACCGCACCTCCCTTCAAGGTCAAGGTCAAACTTTGAGGTAAAATATTAACATAGTCTTTTACAGGGGAAATTTTTTCGTGTCCGGCCCAAACTTTTTTATCTAGAAGGGTTTTTTGTAAATACTTGCCATAATTTTTCATAATAATCAGCGATGGTCAGCGAAAAAACCAGTACCTCCCTTTCAATGTAAGGTCACATTTTGAGGTCAAATTTTAACATGCTTTTACAGGTTAAATTTCGTGCCGGTCCATAATTTTGTCTTTTATAAAGGAAATCGAGAAATTTGCACAAATTTTTGTTATAAAAGACGATTGTCATGCGAACAACCAAACCCGTACCTTCGGGGTCAAGGTCGTATTTGTTAAATTAAGGGGTCAACATTTCTATTTGAGGGTATATGTCGTTCCCGTCCAAAACTTTTTTTACTATAAGGGCTTTTTTAAAAACTGCCCAAATTGTTAACAAAACAGATGAGTGTCATGCCAAAAAAACCCGGGCACCTACCCCAAGGCAAAGGTCACCTTGGGGGTCAAATACTTTTCATAGTCTGTTACAGGGTTATTTTTTGTCAGGTCCATAATTTTTTTCATAGATCAAAAATTTTGAAAAACTTTTACAAAAAAGTCACTATAATGAGGGTGTGCAACGCAAAACCGCATCCCTACCCCAAGGGCAAGGTCACACTTTGGGTCAAAAAAAACATAAGTCTTTATAGGGTATAATTTTTGGTGTTTGAGATCTAGAACTTTTTTATAGTTCAAGGGATTTTGAAATAAGTGACCCACAAATAGTCACATAAATAAGAAGTTATGTCATGCACAAACACACTCTCCCCTAACCTCCAAGTCAAGTTTCAACAACTTAAGGTCAAAGCTTAACATGATATGATTTTTTAAATTTCCCGTGTTTCATTTTATTTTTTTAACAAAAAATTTATGTTACAATTTGCAGATCTAGCCATTGATCATAATTTTTTGGAACTGAATGTACTGAAGATCCATACCTCAATTTTTTAAAAAAGCAAAATTTTATGCTTCATATAAAACTCCCGGGGCGGGGGACGTTGGTAACTCTGTTACAAATTCTTGTTTCCTTTGTTTTAGCTGTCAACAATAATGGCCGCCGCCGACGACAAACCGACGAAACTTTGTACATAGAATACCTAGTCGTCATTGATTATAAAAATCTAGAAAGGTTAGTATATAACGTTTTAAATATTGAAAAGTCATTAAGACACATTATTCCTCAGAATTGAATATATTTTTCATTTTTTTAGAAAGGACAAACATGAGTTTAATAACCTTTAAAAATGGTTTAAAGAAGAGTATGTTATATGCTTATTGCCTGAAGAAAGTAGTACTGAATGTGAAATTATTTGTCATAAAGTAGAAAAATGTAAACAAAGTAGTAATTTGACTTCCATACAAAATACTAAATCACAATAACAGTACTTAATGTCAAAAAGCTACAGAAGTAAAATACGGCTCTGGTAATTGGCCGAAAAGTAACTGTTTGAAAACTATAACAAGACATCAGAAATTTAAAGCTAAAAATAAGAGCATTTCAAGGGCATATTGGGCCATTAATGGAAACGGTCACTGACTGCACGCACTGAGTGCTTTTTTTCCCCGAGTACGAACCCGGACATGTCACCAGTCATGCCTTTTGAAGCACAGAGTAATTTCATAAAAGTAGGCAAGCCCATGAATCTTATCCACAATGTTGAGTCAGAGATTACATGTCTCGCGCTCTAGCCGACTGAGCCATGTGGGTTGAAAACGACCATACACTTCCCCAAACACTTATATACAATGTAATGTCAGCACTTTGATATACGTCATTAATTTATCTCGATTAAATCATTGGTAAACACTTTATAAGTACAGCAATTTTCCCCATAAAAGCCCCAACCCCCTTTTTCGCCTCGATCTCTTTACGTAGATCATATAATGCTATTCGAAACCTGCTTTTATAGATATGAATGGCGGACATCCGTCGCTTTTAAAAGTGTTTAACAATAATTTATCATGTAAATATATTTCCGACCTCTTGACTGTAATTAAAGATTAAAATATTGTTTTTAATTTATCATATTGTTTCTGTTAATTGTTTATTAAAATAAAGATAGAAATTGTACAAGCTGTCAAAATGCAACAACTTTTAGCCGAGTTGCACTGGTGCAAACCCGGGTTATAGTATGGTGAATGTCGGGCGTCGGGCGGGCGGGGAAAAACTTTTCGTAAAAGTTTTTTTCAGCAACTACTTATCACAGTCTCTTGATATTTGGCATACAGCATTGACACGTGGTCCCATATAGTGGAATCCGATTTCAGGTTTATTGCTCATCACATCCTGTCTACTGACTTAGTAAAAATTCGACATTGATGATCAGTGACAAATTTTTTTCATAACATCACAGCATCATGATATTTGGTATACAAATGCCACCCGGCCTTTTCTGTCTTTGACCCATTTTTGTATTTTCTGAACGCAGTTCAGGAAATACAATGCTGACATTCAATCTCTGGCACAGAATTTCACGACAAACCTAACAACAAGTAGTTCTCAGAACAGCTTATAACTAGCGATGTAAAAGAAAGAAATATTTTTATTTTGTTACAAGTATCCAACAAATAACAAGGCATTCAAAGTTTAAAAGTAGCGTTGGCTTATAGAATGGTCAATAAATGCACAATCACAAATTACGCGGATGAATATGATTTTAATCAATGAAAATGCTATTTTTAGCGATGTCGATTACCGAATACGACACAAATAAATCTGACTGCCGAGTTGTGGAATACATGTATATAGATTCTAGATGTCGGACTGTTTGGGCGAGAAGATTTTCGCTAAATTATTTACTTCAATTTTAAACAACAGGTTTATCCTGAACAAAATACCTGGAAATTAATAAAGGAAAACACACCCGAAATGCAATGGAAGTTCTAAATTTAGAATCACCTGATTTTATTCAGGCATTGTTTGTAAAACATCTCCGTGGTGCAGGGATAACGCGCCCGTTTAGTGTGTGAGAGGTCTGGAGTTCAAATCCCAGTTGAGGCAACTTTTTTATAAATTCTTTTTTAGTGCCTTTGTTGAAGAAGTAGCCATGATATGCAAGGATAAAGTGTGGCTGTCAGAAAAAAATGAACATAAATGATTTTTTGATGCAAGTCTAGTTATGCAAATTCCGTATGTATCAAACAGGAAAATACATACAGATATACTGTACGTTTTAGATTGCAAAAATCAGAAAATACCAGAGAGCTTGCAGCCCTTTGATTATTTTTTTAACGTAACCTGTTAGAACGAATTTTTAGTGCATGTATTTTTGATTAAGATTGGAGTTAAAGGCGCATCAAGCCTCTAAAAATTAATATTAATACATTTCTGCGAAATATGAAGTAATTTGTCATTTAAAAAAAGCGATAGATGCTGAAGGCGGTTAAACTATATAGCCAGTGAGAAATTGTAACAGGTCAACAAAAGTGAAAAGCTTTTGCGAAATAAAATTATATCATTATGGGGCATAATTGGTCTATCAACAGTAAATTTGCACCAACAGTTAACATTTGTAAAGTAATGGCTCTCTAACATATGCTATGAAAGCAGTATTTAGATATTTATTTTTATGCACGCCGTAATGTTCGTATAATTATAAACAAAATGTGTGAAAAATAATCTGCACAATCGTCATGTTTCTTTCACTCAGATGGAAGGCGAAGGTCGGCGGAAGTACAGACGAGGAAAGTGTTGATCTCGCTTTCGATGCCATGCATGAATATTACCAGTTTGTTGTAAACGGAGTAAGTTCATTTGATATGTAAGCGCGATGGGAGATGGATGCATGGGGATATTCACCTCATGAGAACAGTAATTGATTCCCATTTAATCACTTTCATTTTCGGTGATTTGTATAATTTTGTTGTACCATACGTCACTTACATTAATAACATTTACAGTCAATTGAATAAGTATTCTGTTGTGAAAGGAAAATAGGTTGTAGAGCCTAGTTTTGATGTTTACCAGGGATTTTTTGACGCGTTTCCTTAAACTGGCTGCTCTCAAGCATAACATGAATGTTTCTCTTAAAAGTAATCTGAATATCTCCATTCTTAGACTAAATGTTTATCACGTTTTAGTTCTAAGAAAATATTGTTAAAGTATTAGTTTTAATAAATATACACATGTATATATTTTTAGATTGATGTGCGATTTCGAACTGCTACCGGTGACGAAGGGCCTGAAATTCGCGTTAATTTCGCATCTCTTTTAATATCTACAGTAAGTATTATCTCTCACTGACATACTGTATTGTCGTCGTTCTCTTTAATATGAGATTAACAACTTTTCAAAAATAAATGAGCCGTGTCATGACAAAACCAACATAAAATGGGTTTGCGACCAGCATGGATACAGACCAGCCTGCGCATCCGCGCAGTCTGATCAGGATCAATGCTGTTCGCTAACAGTTTCTCTGCTTGTTATAGGGTTTGTAAGCGAACAGCATGGATCAGACTGCGCGGATGCGTAGGCTGGTCTGGATCCATGCTGGTCGAAAACGCATTATGTTGGTTTTGTCGTGACACGGCTCAAATATACTTTTAATAAAGGTTCGTGAATAATATACTCAATTTTTAATGGGCAAGATTTTTTTGCCAGTTAACGAACAATCAGTATTGATTTTCCAGCGGTTTAAACAAAACCGCATCGCTTTTAGAATTGTGAAGGCTCGCCGATGATTGGTTGTTTGAAAGGTCACCAGAAGGTGACCTCCTATTGTTGCCCGTCAGATCGTTATGCGTAGCCTTTATTAGGCACTGCTTTTAATCAGATTGATAATTTTATAATTTATGTATAAGAATAAATTGTGCTATTGTTTTAAAGTTTGTAACTGTTTGCGTAACCGTTTGTTTTTCTTATATTACATTTTTTGACTGTCACCAGGGTCTTTCAAATAGATAAATTTCTATTAGAAAGACCCTGCTGTCATATTATATTGTTCACAAATTCAGTAATATTAGTGGCGTGGTGGTGGTGGAAGCGATGGCAGATAATATCAGGCAATTTACCTTTTATGTTCACGTTATTCAATTAATGAGCCGCGTCACGACAAAACCAACATAATGGGTTTGCGACCAGCATGGATCCAGACCAGCCTGCGCCTCCGAGCAGTCTGATCAGGATCCATGCTGTTCGCTATCAGTTTCTCTACTTGTAATAGGGTTTGTAAGCGAACAGTATGGATCATGATCAGACTGCGCGGATGGTTTTGTCGTGACGCGGCTCATTTTGTGTTTATCAAATAGGAGAAGGCTACATCACCGTGGATTGCAAATAACATGCTAGGTCCAGATTCTGTGGATGATGCCGGTGTATTGTTAGATTTTGCCACGTGGAAAAACTCCGTGTTAAAGTACCTGCCCTCACACGATCACGCTGGACTTTTTACAGGGTGTGTAACTAGTGTAAATCTTTCCCCTAAAGTTTGCAAACTATAGAAAAAAATATATATAAATGCCACATCGTTTCCTTATCTTAACAATTAAGTTTGATATTGATATACATGTTGGAACATTTATAATATAACATATCATCTTGCATTAGAAATAACTATTTGATTATGTGCTTTTATATGGTTGCGACCAACCAGTTTAATATGTTCATTTGTCTAAAATAATGAGAATATAAATGTAATATGACGATTATATGTGGCTGTAAGTAAGTTAAAATACACTTTTTTTACTTTGTTTATTTTCAGGTTTGATATAGCCACGCCATCATCCAGAAACCCGATAGGTGAAAATATTTACTAGTGTTTTACATTGTTGTTTTTTTTTCTACCAACAAAAATCCTCATGTTCCATAATTGGATATTTTTATGAGTCAATTTAAAAACCCTTCTGAAAATATACTACTTATGTATTTCAACTGTAAATGTAAATCTGAAGAAAGTCTCGCTTGGATTTTTTCCTAAGAAATATATATACATTTATACTATATGATTAATTAATTAATATTTTAAGAAGTTGCGAACTTTCATTTTATTACGGATATAACTTAAAATTCCGGTATTTGTTGTAGGTATGGGATACCTAAATTCAATTTGTCATGACTCGTGGGCTGTATCTGAAGTAGAAGAAACGTATAATGCTGTAACAATTCATATTGCCGCACACGAACTCGGCCATAAGTAAGTCGGTCTTCTATTGGTTAACTCTAGTAAAAATCCTTAAGTGTGTATTAAAGCAGCACGCCTACAGATTTATGCTAATTTTCATGAAAATGTTTGAAATATGTGAACACGTATAATAATGTGTACTGACCAAAAGGAAGCAATTTACACCTA